ACCCAGAGGTTGAACCCGTGTCTCTTTTGTCTCCTATATTGGCAGGCAAGTTCTTTACTATTAGCACCACCTGGGAAGCCCATTCTACTGAAATAAATAAAGAGGAATTATTGCTGATAAATAGATCACTTTCGAGCTCCATTTTAATGTTAGAGAAGATTGTGTACCTCTTAAGTTGATTCAGAAAATAGCCACATGGTTGAGAGTTATGAAAAAATTAAAGTACAAATATATGCACCGTTGAGCCAAGAGAATGAGAGATGAGAAACTACTGTTCCAGGTCTCAGGATGATTCTTGTATACTGGTTGTTAACCAGCTCTTCCCTATGACCTCAGGCAAGTCCTCCCCCTACCTTTTTCTTATCTGTAAAGTGTGGATAATAATACTAACCCATTATCTGTTATCTTCAATTCTGAAATTCAGAGAACTCTGAAAAACAGAAGTTGCTTTGGTTTTGTTGTAATTTCATAAATTTGTGGCAAACTCACATGGTGGTGAAACCTGGCCTGAACATTAAGGGTTTATGTTCATTTTCCACCTATTGTGAATATTCATGAATTCATGAATATTCATGAAGAAATGTTAAGGTTTGATTATAGTGAAAGAAAAAATTGAAAATGTTAGTCACTCAGTTGTGACTCTTTGAGACCCCGTGAGCCACAAAGGAAGCCCATTAAATCCTGCTGGAGGTATTTATAACACATGCTGGTAGCTCAGACGGTAAAGAATCTGCCTGCAATGCATGAGACATGGGTTCGATCCCTGGATCAGGAAGATCCCAGGAGAAGGGAATGGCAATCCGCTCCAATATTCTTGACTGGAGAATTCCATGGAAAGACTATCCTGGCAGGCTACAGTCCATGGGGTTGCAAAGAGTTGGACAGGACTGAGCAACTATTTTCACTTTCATATGAACTCTACTCCCTTTCTAAAATCTAAACGGTTCTGGATTCTGAAACATCTGGCTTCAGTGGTTTCAGATAAGAGTCTGTAGATCTATAATACCTTCCTCTTAGATTTCTGTGAAGATCTTCTGTGAAGTTTTTTATACTAGATCTCAAAAAATGGTGAAGTTATTATTGCATATAGATTGCTGACATTCAGAAATTAGATTCCCCACTCCCATCTCTGAGAATGAATGAAGTTTTAACACTTGATGATGCCTAACTACTATTTTTAGTCTGTCAGGTGTGATTTATACGTATATCAGTTATTCAAATGGAATGTTCCTCTTAACTGTCCTACTCTGAACACTTATCCTTCTTTTTTTTATAATCTTTACATACCTTGATGGGCGCCTTATTTGCCTTCAGGTTTTAGCTGGCAAACTTGTTTTGGAGTCATCTTTCCTAAGGTACATTTTATCAAACTCGTGTTTAGATTATATATTTCCTAACTTAAGCACAAACAGATAGGCTTATTTACTGAGAGTTGTCAATAAAAGAGAACTCATAATATGTTATAAAACAATGTCTTTGTTTGTAAAGTCATTTAAAAAACACTTGAGCAAAAATGTCCATCTAGATTTCATTGTGTTTCCCAAGTAGAATTTTATTTTTGTGGTTGATTTTTGGCATGCTTCCTATTTCTTTAAGCTATGTAAAACCTTTTTCTGTGCTTAATCCTTGACCTGTGGGCATGGAGAAATGATTATGCAATACACATCTAGTATTGGGAAATTCATAACTGAAAATTTCATATACTGAAATGCTTGGGAGAAAAAGATTATTTAAATAAATATTATATTTCAAAAGGAAGAAATAAAGCAGTTATTTTTATATGTGCTTTTCCATGGAACATTTGCTTCTATTCAGAGTTGGATTGGAGCATAGCAATAGTGAATCCCTTTGCCACTCTGGCTCCTGCTCCCCACTGTCTTTTCCCTGGAAGAATATTGTTGCCAATTTAGATGAGTAACCTGTGTGTGTGTGTGTGTCTGTTTACCTTTGTTTGGGTAAGTGTTACTAGGTGCCCTGCTCTTGGCCAGCAGTTCCATTGCCCAAGTGGTTTTACTGAACCTCAGAATGAGGAGGAATGCAGTGATGAGACTTTGACCCAGAGAACAGGGTGATAGCTTAAGATTTAAGGTAATATAAGGGTTAGAATGGAGACTTTCTAAAGGAAACAACAAGGATGAAACTTTATTTTCAAGGTCTCATGCTTTCCCTACCCTATTTTCTAATTCTACAACCAACCAACCAACCAACCAACCACTAAACCTACTTTCCGTGCAGAAAGAAGTATAGCAAGGAAAATTTCAGTCCCTTGTGAATGAAAAGATCATCTTTATTGCCTCATGTCTGACTATGTTGTAATAGGGCAGTCCTTTCATGAGAACATAGGACCAAATGACCCCTTTCAGATCCCTCATTCTTTTAGGCTAATATAAGGATTAGAATGGAGACTTTCTAAAAGGAAACAACAAGGATGAAACTTTATTTTCAAGGTCTCATGCTTTCCCTACCCTATTTTCTAATTCTGCAACCAACCAACCAACCAACCAACCACTGAACCTCCTTTCCATGCAGAAGGAAGTATAGTGAGGAAAATTTAAGTCCCTTGTGAATGAAAAGATCATCTTTATTGCTGCCATGTCTGACTATGTTGTAATAGGGCAGTCCTTTCATGAGAACATAGGACCAGATCCCTCATTCTTTTAGGCTATGACCCTAGAAGATAATTGCAGTTGTTTGAGGGAACTTTTGCAATTTTCTAGCTGGTTGACCTTAAATGAAATCTCTTCACTATCTACTAGATATTCTGTCTGAAAACTTTTTTTTCCATTACCCCTAATTTCTATGAGTCTCTATAGAGTATTGTAAGGGTAGGATTAATTATAGTCTGCTTAATATTACTCAATACATGAGAATACTGTTTTTCCATTTAGTTTTCAATACTCTGTAAACCTGTTCATAGTGTTAATCATTGAGATATTTCTGAGAATCAGTTTCTTCATTCTGAAGAGATGATAGCTGTAAATAATGACACAAACGTGTTCTGATAAATGGTTTCAACCAGTGGTGAACATGATGCTGAAAACTTGGTTTCTGTGCACTGGTGCCAGATCAAATCTCAGAGACTGAATTTGGGGTGAAGTAGAAAATGATAGCTTTATTTCTTTACTAGTCATAAGGGGACACACTAGGATCCTGCCCTCAAAAACAGTGACCCACTTGGGAGTATTTAGTAAGGAGCTTTATAGCAGTGGTTCCAGGGTGGGGTCGATGATAAGATTAGGGTGTGTGCACTCTTTTAATCTGATTTCTGGTAATCTCATGATGCCTTTCTCTGGTTCCTTTAATATGGCCTCAGGTGTTCTCTGGAATGAAGAATGCTAAATCCATTCCATTGGGGTTTTTGGTTCTCAGTTCAGGACTTCCCTGGTGGCTCAGAAGGTAAAGCGTCTGCCTACAATGTGGGAGACCCGGGTTCAATCCCTGGATTGGGAAGATCTCCTGAAGAAGGAAATGGCAACCCACTCCAGTGTTCTTGCCTGGAAAATCCCATGGATGGAGGAGCCTGTTAGACTACAGTCCATGGTGTTGCAAAGAGTCAGACACGACTGAGCAACTTCACTTTCTTTCACTTTCAGTTCAGTTCAGTCACTCAGTCGTGTCCAGCTCTTTGAGACCCCATGATGATGTCCTCCCTGTCCATTACCAACTCCCGGAGTCCACCCAAACCCATGTCCATTGAGTTGGTGATGCCATCCAACCATCTCATCCTCTGTCATCCCCTTCTCCTCCTGCCCTCAATCTTTCCCAGCATAAGGGTCTTTTCCAATGAGTTAGCTCTTCACAACAGGTGGCCAAAGTACTGGAGTTTTGGCTTCAACATCAGCCCTACCAATGAACACCCAGGACTGATCTCCTTTAGGATGGACTGGTTGGATCTCCTTGCAGTCCAAGGGACTCTCAAGAGTCTTCTCCAACACCACAGTTCAAAAGCATCAATTCTTCAGCACTCAGCTTTCTTTATAGTCCAACTCTCACACCCACACATGACCACTGGAAAAACCATAGCCTTGACTAGATGGACCTTTTTTGACAAAGTAATGTCTCTGCTTTTTAATATGCTATCTAGGTTGGTCATAACCTTCCTTCCAAGGAGTAAGCGTCTTTTAATTTCATGGCTTGCAGTCACCATCTGCAGTGATTTTGGAGCCCCCAAAAATAAAGTCTTCCACTGTTTCCCCATCTATTTCCTATGAATTGATGGGACCGATTGCCAGGATCTCAGTTTTCTGAATGTTGAGCTTTAAGCTAACTTTTTCACTCTCCTCTTTCACTTTCATCAAGAGGCTCTTTTGTTATTCTTCCTTTTCTGCCATAAGGGTGGTGTCATCTGCATATCTGAGGTTATTGATATTTCTCCTAGCAATCTTGATTCTAGCTTGTGCTTCCTCCAGTCCAGCGTTTCTCATGATGTACTCTGCACATAAGTTACATAAGCAGGGTGCAATATAGCCTCGATGTACTCCTTTTCCTGTTTGGAACCAGTCTGTTGTTCCATGTCCAGTTCTAACTGTTGCTTCCTGACCTGCATACAGGTTTCTCAAGAGGCAGGTCAGGTGGTCTGGTACTCCCATCCCTTTCAGAATTTTCCATAGTTTATTGTGATCCACACAGTCAAAGGCTTTGACATAGTCATAAAGCAGAAATTGATGTTTTTCTGGAATTCTCTTGCTTTTTCAGTGATCCAGCAAATGTTGGCAATTTGATCTCTGGTTCCTCTGCCTTTTCTAAAACAGCTTGAACATCTGGAAGTTCACGGTTCACATACTGCTAAAGCCTGGCTTGGAGAATTTTTAGCATTACTTTACGTTTGTTTCTAATAAGAGCTTAAAGATCTTGGGTCCTGCTTAGTTTCAAACATGCAGCTCTAAAGGAACATGTTTACAGAAAGTGTATATATATATATATATTTCCATGTTCTGATTTTGAATATAACAAAATCTCGTTTCCTTTCTTTCTTTCACCATGGACCCGTCTCTAAGCAGTATTCCACTGAACTGAAGAAGCTGTACTGCCAGATTGCAAAGACATGCCCCATCCAGATCAAGGTGATGACCCCACCACCTCAAGGTGCTGTCATCCGGGCCATGCCTGTCTACAAGAAGGCCGAGCATGTCACTGAAGTGGTAAAAAGGTGCCCCAACCATGAGCTGAGTCGTGAATTCAATGAGGGTAAGGAGAATGGGGGTCTGTGGCTGTTCAACTAAGCTTGAAATAGATTTCTGTGGAGAGTTTTGTCTGGGATCCACCTATCTGTTTCCAACCTCTGCAGTCTGATGGCAGCTTAGTCTACCTTTTTGGCTGATAAGACTGAGAATAATGTTGAATAAATTTCAGGCTTTCACAAGAATTAAACTGTTTATTTTAATATTGGTAATTGTTGGATAACCTGGGCTTGCCTCTCTTCTCCCTGTTTCTTCCTTCCCTTCTGTCGGGAGAGTGAGTGACTTCCTTGGGTTCTATCTTGTGGCAACAAAGATTTGAAATGGCAGACCAGTGTTCCAGCTCAGTTACAGCTCAGAGTTTTATTCAGCAAACAAAGGGTAGTATACCCTGGAGGCGTGAGGGTGGATCGACCCCAAGGGAGAGGCCTCAGTCCATCTTGGCTCTGTCTTTTGTTCTTTTTGTCTCCTCTCCCTATGCAAATTAGGGCTAGCTATGTTTCATCTGAAGTTCTCACTCCCACTGCAGTCTGCAGATTTTCTTTTGTTTTGTTATTGTGGTCTTTTCCCTTTGTCTTTTAGCCACCACCATTTTAGACTCCTTTTTCCTTTTCTAACTACCTAACACTCCCCCCCCCCACCTTTTTTTTTTTAATGAGAGGATTTAAGGAGAACAGTGTGGCCTCTGATCTCTTGGTCCCTTGCTAAGGGCTTGAGTACCTCTCCCAGGGTGATTGTCAAGGCTGGACCAATTAGAGTCTAAAAGGGTAAGAGAAAGGAGCATAAAAAGGGATAAATATTTAAAGAAGAAGAGGAAAATGGGGAATAAGAAAAATAAATGAAGACAAATAACAGATAAGAGGAGTAAATGGAAAATCTAGAACATGAGCTTGGGAGGGGAAGCAGTAAAGTGAAGGACTGACTTCACTAAGATACCTAAAGAGCAGGTATCTTAGGGCCAGGTATCTTACAGCCTTTAAGTGCTGTATCCATAGGTAAGTTAGGTCCCAGGCTCTGAGCCTCAGATCCAGTAACAGTTTTACAGAAGTGGTCATTATTTCCAAGGGTCCTCTTACATTTACTGTTCTAAAGTTTATGAAGGGAGGCTAAGTCAAGAACACAAAACAGTTGAAAGGAAGGGCAAGAGAAAGCATAAAGATTCATCAAAAGAGCAATGAGGAGATAGGAGGATTGGGAGTTAGAGTACTTTATAGAAATTATGTGAAAAATAGGAAGATTGGTAGGTTACCCTGAGTATATGTATGTAGAGAATATAATAGGTGGTAAAGAAAAAGTAATGAAGAAAGATAGTAGATAGAAATTTTAAAAAAGAAAATAAAGTTGAAATCTCTCCACCTTAACACAACTAATTTTTATTTATTAATTTCTAGTCCTTGTCTCTATGACCTCATTATCCATACCTCTGCATCTTACCTTTCACTTAACAATATGCTGTAGAAGTTATTCTCTATAGCTAGGCTTCATTATTGGTTTCCATAACTGCTCTTGATCCATCAAGATGACATAACCATTTTTGTTGTTGTTTGCTTTTTTCTTATTTTTTAACATAATAGTTATTTAAAATTTTTGCCATAATATATGATGCTTCAGGCAACAGAGAGCATCTTGATATACGAAGCCTTTTACTTTGAGTATCAGTTACTGTAGAATGAGAATATGAGACCAAAGGTTAAAAACAGCTTTACAGCATTAACTCTTGGAGCAGCATCTTTATTTTTGAGTTCCATCAGGTGTCACATTTTGTGAAACTTTGCTTATGTTCCTTTCAAAACTTGCTTCCTTTTTTAAGCCTCTAACCTGGGACAATTGCAGTACAACAAATAAAGTTAGTTTCCCATCTTTATGACCAAAGTAAAATTGTGGCTTCATCATGAAGAAAAGAATAGGCAAAGTAAAAGTTATATCCTTGCCATCCATAGCTTCTTAGTGTTTTAAATGGTCAATTTGGGGGCAGTGTTTTCTGTCATGCAGGTGTATTTTTTAAATTAACTTGTTCCTTTTTCTTCCATTTTTCAGAGAAGCTGGAAAAACGCCCTGTATGGGTCAGCTTAGAAATGTAGTTATAGAGTTCTCTACAACTTGAATTGTTTACCTTGAGCCCAGAAACATGGGACTGTTCCCTTAAATATAGATGACCATTCCTGACCTTTTTATGGCTATAAAGGTTGTGATACCTTCATGTGTTAGATCTCTGGCAACAGGATCTAGTCTTCTTTTCAAGCATGTATATCTCCTATATCATACAAACTATTTCTTTGACCACCAGTGTTCTGTCCATAAAGTTTCATTTTATTTTCTTTGTTTTGAGGGTAAAGAGCTAATTTTTTTTTTTTTCATTCTGCAGGACAGATTGCCCCTCCCAGTCATTTGATTCGAGTAGAAGGTAACAGCCATGCCCAATACGTAGAAGATCCCATCACAGGAAGACAAAGTGTGCTGGTACCTTATGAGCCACCTCAGGTAAGCAGATAAGGACTGGGCAGACTTGAGAGAGTATTACTTTTAGTAATAGGAGGTGTTTCAAGCATATAATTCTATCTTAGTTATAAAATAGGTAACTGTTTTTGTATTTATTCTTTCCCTTCTCTTCACCAGGCACTTCTCTATCCCCCTTCAAAACTGCTAAATTTGTACCAAATTTGTTCTTGTTAACATGGCTCTGTTGCCCATGCTCTCAACTTAAGGCAGAAAATAATTGAATCTACAGTTGAGTTTATACATGGCATTATTATCCAGAGATCTTAATTGAAAATTCAGCTGGTAGTGGATGTACATGAGTATTGGATGCATGTATTTTTCCCTCATAGCTCAGTCAGTAAAGAACCTGCCTGCAATGCAGGAGACCTGAGTGTGATTCCTGGGTTGGGAAGATCCCCTGGAAAAGGAAATGGCAATCCACTCCAGTATTCTTGCCTGGAACATCCCATGGACAGAGGAGCCTGGTGGGCTACAGTACATGGGGTCGCAAGAGTAGGACATGACCTAGCGACTAAATCACCACCACCATTTTTACACTATCCTGAAACTGGGAGACCCTAAAAGGGATCTCACAGTTGAAGTTTGAATGTACAGGATGGCAGATTAGAAAAGCAGCGTGATGCAGCACAGAGAACACAGGAGTGGTGAGACCAGAGACCCTCGATTTGGTGACTCACTCTGTAGACTTCTAGCTTAGATTCAGATTGCTTCATCCATAAATTAATCTTCTGGACTAGATTATTTAACTCTGAATTCCAGAGTGTTCTTTATAGGAGTATACATTCACGTGTGTGTTGTACTGTGTTATCCATATCATAAAAATATCCCTGGAGCATTACTGCTATAGTCAGTAATTTTTTCGTCTCTAACTTTTCATATATGTGATGAACCCTGTTTGAATTAAGTGATAGGGATCAGCTTGCAAGTGAATAGGGTCAAAAATGGTTATTTTTAAAAACGCTTTCATACTGTGCAGAGGGTCCACTATTGCAAATACTAGCTTTAAGCTTCCTAAGAGCCAAGGCAAAGAAGAATCTACCATGGGTTTTGCAGTTTTTTAGAAGAAAGCATATCACTTGATCAGAAATGGAGTTGTTTAAGTAAGTGAGAATTAAGAAGGAAGAAGTGAGAAGAAAGAACATTAGTTCAAGTCATTGTTAACACCGACTCTCTTCCTCCCTGTGTTCAGGTTGGCACTGAATTCACGACAGTCTTGTACAATTTCATGTGTAACAGCAGTTGTGTTGGAGGGATGAACCGCCGTCCAATTTTAATCATTGTTACTCTGGAAACCAGAGAGTAAGTGGCATTTGCAGAACTGTCATTCTGTAGAAACTCTGGGCACAGGGCAAAGTGAAATTGTGTTTGTTTTATCATTACCTTTGCATGTACAACAGAGAGCTACCCTAGATTTTGTCCTCTGTGCTGTAAATCCTTGCTGCAAACACTTACATCTAAGAAAGTGGAGACAGAACAGGGTGGGTAAAGGTAGAAGAGAAAAAAAAAAATAGTTGGGAAGGTGTTCAAGTCACTTCATACCTGAATTCTTGACATTTGACTGGAATAGTTTCTGATTAGACAGTGTTTGTTTTCATGTGGGCCGCGAGGCATTTAACAGTTTCTTTGAATAAGTCTGAGCTGCCTAAGGGGATTTTATCTGGAGACATCCATTGGCTTAACTCAAGTTTCCTTCAAAATATGTAGCTAAATACAGCTGTTCAGCTAATGGCTTGGAGGTTCTTTGCAGAACAAATGGATGCTATTTACTAATATTGCTCATGGCGTGTAAGCACTTTTGTGTTCTGCCAAATGCTTTGGGGCCCATCCTCAAAGCAGCCTTGAGTTGGTGGTGGAGCTGGTGCACTGGTGATGGCCAGCAGGGGGCTTTTCAAATTCCTTTCATTTAACCCTTCCTTCTCCTCTTTAATTCCTAGTGGGCAAGTCCTGGGCCGCCGCTGCTTTGAGGCCCGGATCTGTGCTTGCCCAGGGAGAGACAGGAAGGCAGATGAAGACAGCATCAGAAAGCAGCAGGTGTCGGACAGCACAAAGAACGGTGATGGTACGAAGCGCCGTAAGTAGCTGTAGTGGCCCAATGGGGCAGGGCTCAGTCTCCGCCAGATACAGCACCTGACGGGTGATGTTTGAGAAGCTGCACAATAAGACCTAAGGGCTTTAGAGACACGTTTATGAACTTAAGCTGCAGCTCTTGATGAAACAGATTCTGGGGGTACACTATAGCTTTTCAAAAGCAGATCATCATGGAAGATTACCCAGCAGTCCTCCAGACATGACTCCTAGACCAGTAGCATCAGCATCATCTGGAAGCTGGGTAGAAATGCAAACTCTTAGTTTGCAGGCTTGCTGAATCAGAAGTACTGGGTGTGAGGCCCAGGGATCCATGTTTTGTAAGCCCTATAGGTGCCTCTGTTGCCAGGTGAAGTTTGAGAACCAGTACCTTAGCATATTTATATCCATTTATCTTTCTGTTATTGAAGGTGAGGGTTGAAAATGCCACCTGCCTACCTCCTGAGGCTGGGGGAATAGTGAGACTTAAGAGTGCACTTCATAAAGCACAGTCTGGGGAATATGCAGCTGTGGGTTTTCTTGAATCTTGACATGTAGGATTCACTCAGGGCTTTAGTTCCATCATTTATAGTGAGGCTGATGATTTAGATCAGTTGGTTTCAGACTTGTTTTTTTAAGCGATAAAAGCTTTTTAAAAATGAAGTATTTCAAGGAGCTCAAAACAGCTGAAAGCAGAGCTGTTCTAGTTGAAGGGGTGGGAGTCAGGTGTGAGGTTGGTTTCATGCTTCATTCACACCCCCCCTTGCATGTCAGGTACTCACCCCCAGAGGTCTCATTCTTCAGGTCACAGAGTTTGAAAACCATTGATCCACCAAGCTACTAAAGCATGAGATTTAATTCTAGAAGATGGCTTGCATAAGCCTACTATCACTCTAGCAAGTATTTTGAAATATACCACACTGTGCATTATATTGTGAAAAAGGTTTTCATCTTATTACTGATTCGTATGCAGAAGAAATAAAAATGGTATTGAATTTTGCAGAACAACTTGTTGTAACAACTAACCTTTATCATCTTTGGGCTGTTCAGTGTGATTTGCTTTTCCAGTTTTTTTCTCCCTGATTATTCTTCAAACAATCGTATATATAGTAGATTATATATACACTATCAATAGTGTATGTACTATCAATAATTATATCTCCACCCTAATTCTCCTCTTGAGTCTGTCTGTTGACCTAGCTCCATATGCTTCCCTGAGCACCTCAGTTACCTACCAATCAAAAACTTTCAGTAAGAACTCCAGTAGGAGAGTCATCTCTATATTCTGGGTCCTGGGTATAGTTTCTAAATTTTGGAAACCTTTAGGGATATATAAAATTAATTCCCTGATTTTACCAAAGAGAAAACTGAGGTCCCAGAGACTGTCAGAGGCTATGTGATATTCGTACTAACATGGGAGGGGGGGAACTCACAAGGTTGAATGCACAGACAAGACAACTGCTACAGACTGCATTTACCTCCTTGGAAGATAAATGATCTGAAAAATAAAACACAATTCCAATTTATCTTCCTCTGCTGAGCAGCTGTTCACAGTCACACTCCAGTAAAACAGGGATTCCTGTAGCATTGCTTAAACCAGAGGCCATTTCCCAGCCTCCCTACACCCACCTCCTGTTTTTCTTTCCCTGTTTTGCCTCACCTCCCCCCACCCCACTCTCATCATTGTTAGGTTTACACCTAATAAAAGTAATCATCACTGGTTGAATGGCTGCTTAGAACTGGAAATTCTAATCTCATCACTGTCAGTGGTGCTACTGTCTGTTTAATCAGTGTATTATTGCTTCAGAAATGTTCCTAGGATGAAACTTGCACTTTTCCTCCACCAGCTTTCCGTCAGAACACACATGGCATCCAGATGACATCCATCAAGAAGCGAAGATCCCCAGATGATGAACTGTTATACTTACCAGTGAGTCTCCCTTGGGTATTCGTGTTGCTTCATTTTCGCCTTCTTTGAATGAGCTTTTACTCTGTGGTCATCTTTTGATTATCTGTGAATGAGAATGTGAAGAGGGTGATAGAGGCAAGTGAGATAAAACAGAAAACCTACTTTTTTTTTTTGCAAAATTAGGAAATTATTCATCCCCTCTAAAGTTCCAGAACAGATTAATAGTGTGGGCTCTTCCTGTTAATACTCACCCAGTCAGAACTACACTATTAATAGAGTTCTTCTTATGCAAATCTTTAAAATTAATTTGTCTTTCATTACTGAAGAGTGATAAGATGATCCTAGACAGCTTGGTCATACCAATTTAGGACTAAAATTTTGTCAGAAGGCATTCACAAAGTTGATATACTACTATAGAGTATTGCCTGTGATTTCTTTTGCTGCTGCTGCTGCTGCTAGGTCGCTTCAGTTGTGTCCGACTCTGTGCGACCCCATAGACGGCAGCCCACTAGGCTCTGCCTTCCCTGGGATTCTCCAGGCGATTTCTTTTAGGGAATGCTAAAAAAAAAAGCAAAGCTAGGCAGAATCCTCAACTATATGGGAATGACCATATATTGTGTAGGAGCATTGTTCATTCCTACAAGGAATATAAGCCCTCTCAAGGTTACCAGGGTGCCCTTTTTTAGATTATAGTTGCAGTTCATTTAGTTCTTATCACCTTAGGTCTTTGCCATCCAGAGTGGCAGCAAAGCTTCGGTAACCAGTATTGCTCTTAAGATACAGACAAGCTGGGCCAGAAGATTTGGCTGGGATTGAAATTAAGCCACAGGTTTGGGTGTGTCGTGTTCACTAGCCCTTCCTTTTGAGGCCCTAAAGGTCAGTCAGGTCAGAGAATTAGACTGCTTGCTGGCAGAACAGTCAGACAGTGAGTTAGCTGAGATTCTCAATGTCTTGTTTCTCAGGCCACATATGGAAACTGGTATGTGAACTCTTAAGTTAAACATTTTCCTGCTATACTAGATATTCTGAAAGCTCTAATGTGTCTTTAGCTGATGAGATAGAAACCACTTTGAAGAGCTGTTTCTTTAATGAAATTTCAGTTTGTACTAATGGAGGAAATACCCTATAAACAGTTACATCTTATTTTTAGTGAAAAATTAGCCAGACTGAAATGTGTGAAGAAAAAAAAAAACAAAAACTCTTCATTTAGCATGAGTTTAGTTGGTGTTTGCTGAATGGCAGAAATGCTAGATTCTGACTATTAGAGATCATTAAGGTACAATTCTTACCTTCCAAGACCTTGTCTTCTAGTGAGGAGACAAAGAGGTATAATAATGAAATCAGCACTTGCGTAAAGTTAGGGGTGACACTGTGGGAGCTCACAGGAAGGGTGCATGACTTGGCCTAAAAGGTTGAGGTCAGGAAAAGCTTCTCAAAGAATATGATGCCAGAGCTGGGATAAGTAGGAATTAACCCAATAAAAGGTAGGGAAAATCTTTCCATTTCTGAATTCTGACAGGGAGGGGACAGGCGGGTGCCCAGAGTGACAGGCGCTTGCTCTCAGGGTCAGGCAAGTGTTCTTTGTTCTTCACTCACCTTTCTCTAGTCCTGGTTCTGCTCAGACTTCTTAAAGTTTTTAAGAGACTCTCTTAAAGAGGGAAGCACATTTTATCCCTGCTGAAAACGTGTGTCTTTCCAGTTATAATTACAGTTAATTCTAGTTATCTGTGGTAGTTATGCTTTAAAAAGTCACTGTGGACACTGTATGATCAAATACTGAATCATTGCTCCTACAAAAATACAGGATTAGATTCCTCTGAGCTTCTGATCACATTTTTAGCAACTGATTGATGCATTACCTTGTTTCATGTGTGTTTCTTATTTAATATATGCTGTTGATTCATTACTGAAGGAGGAAGTGGCAACCCATGCCCATGTTCTTGCTGGGAAAATCCCATAGACAGAGGAGCCTAGTGGGCCACAGTTTGTGGGGTTGCAAAGAGTTGGACACAACTGAGCATGCCTGCATGCATGCACATTGATTCATTAACATTGAATGCGCAGTCCGTACCACTACAGCTCATGGCTGGACTAAGCTTATCTAACATGACTTTTCTCCATAAGGCACATTACAGTGTATTTGCATTTAGGAGCACTAGAGAGCACTGACGGAGAAGGCAATGGCAACCCACTCCAGTACTCTTGCCTGGAAAATCCCCTGGGCAGAGGAGCCTGGTGGGCTGCAGTCCATGGGGTCGCGAAGAGTCGGACACGATTGAGCGACTTCACATTCCCTTTTCACTTTCATGCATTGGAGAAGGAAATGTCAGCCCACTCTAGTGTTCTTGCCTGGAGAATCCCAGGGACGGGGGAGCCTGGTGGGCTGTCGTCTATGGGGTCACACAGAGTCGGACACGACTGAAGCGACTTAGCAGCAGCAGCAGCAGCAGACAGCACTGAAGCTGCCTTTGGGAACTATTTTATACCAAAAAATTTACCTCCAAAAAGTACAGAAAAGGTAAAAAAAAAAATGGCCCTAAATAGGCTATGAGAAGGACACTTATTTCCAGCATAAGAGGTGAAACAAGAGGTTGGAACATCACCTTCTTCACCCTCAGTTGGGAACATGCACACTGGGACACTCAACTTTTCGTCATTATGCCCCTGTCTGTGAAGTATTGATTTTTGTGTTATAAATAGATGTTAGCAAGTAGGTGAATTAGTCCAAGCAGAATCCACAAATAAAGAGGATTGACTGTACTTCTGATAGTTCTCCAGTTCTTCATTTCTCGTCTCTTGCCTTCTGCTCTTTTATGTAGGTAAGGGGCCGTGAGACTTACGAAATGCTGCTGAAGATAAAAGAATCCCTGGAACTCATGCAGTACCTTCCTCAGCACACAATTGAAACCTACAGGCAGCAGCAACAGCAGCAGCACCAGCATTTACTTCAGAAACAGTGAGTGGATCTCTGTGTCATTCTAGCAGATGTGCTTAAGATGACTGTGTATTCAGATCGGCCACAGGGTAGTTGTTGGGTGTAAAAGGTGAGGTTGCGAGACAGCAGAACTTGGTAGGTTCACATGAGCTGGTCTGGGGACTCCTCTTTCTGCTTCAACAGTCTTCTATGTTTCTTATAACCCTCCCTTTGACAAGTTACACCTATATTCTGAAGTTGAATTGAAACCGTTTCAAGTGAATTCTGAAAAAAGACTCACACTAATAAATTAGTTTTCTTCTCTATGCCCCTAATCCATACACATCTATCAATAGTAGAATTTTGAATACACCCTCTATTCTATTAATAATGTGTCTATTTAAAATCATATAGTGTTTCCTCATCCCAATATCTTATCTTGTCCCTCGCCTGGGATGCACACAATCTACTTTTGGGACAATCATTATAGACTAGGGACAGCACATAGATTTCACTATAAGTTACTTCTTTGAGTGCTGTGTTGAAGATTCAGAGTCCTAGTGTCTGGTCATTAGGGAAAATCTGGATGCATCAGGGCAAAATAGAGCCACATTGCCAATGTTTTAACATCCTCTTCTAGGTCTCCCAGCAAGACATGTTTACATCAGTGAGACCAGATTTTGCAACCATTTTAGAATAGACATACAACCTATTTTTATGTTCATTTTACCTTGATTCTCGGATCTTTGATGATGGTGTTTTTAATAACTAACCAGAACAGACTAGCTCTTATGAAAGAAGGGAAATTGGTGAATCAGAACTCTGATGTATACTTACCCTTCTGTGGTTAAGAATAATCACTTGTAAGCTGAAAAACTATTGTGTCTAAACCGAAAGTATCGCCAGAGTCTCTGTAGATCAATGTAAAATGTAGACATTTTACAACTGCAGGCAAAAAGAAATGAAGCCAAAACTACCTTGCCTATGACAAGATTGTCTTTTACATTAGGAACACAAATGAACAATAAATAATGGATCTTTTCTCATTTATTATTAACTACTCTAGAGAAATACCTATGAAAAGCATAATAAAAAGGCATTGCTTTTCTTTTTTCAATCAAAATAAATGCAGTTGAGGAGGTTGGATTGCATCTCTGATACTCAGGAGGTGTTCTCTGAGCCAATACCTACTGACTATGGGGTATGGAGTAGACAGCAGAGGCGCAAAACAGAAGTATACTCTCTCTTTAAAGGACTTCAGGCTCTTTGACCATTTAAGACCTTTTCTGCCTGGAAGGGATCTCGCCATTCCCTTCTAGCACGGAAGTTTTGCGAATCATAATTATAAGGTTTTATAGTAAGGCTGACTCGAAAGTTGAATCAGGAGGTTCCTTGGAGATACAGAGTATTCTCCAAAGGAGAATTAGAATTCAAGGTTACAGAATTCCCATTGTCAATCTTTATATAATACTTGATATCAGATAGAAATATATATTAATATATTTAAGTGCAAAACTGATTTAGTTCTTATAAACTCATACAAGGATCAAAGAAACAGACCTTGTAACATCCTTTACAGACCTATAAGGGATAGATGCCTTCTCCAAGTTACTTACATCATGCTATTAAGACAGACTCCCAGATCGTTTTCAGTTCACCCTGGAAATGTTTGACTTAGCTAAAATAGTGTCAGAAGAGTTACTCAATGCTGAACTAGTTGCTCCATAATTTCCTGTCTTTTTTCCAGTTAAAGAGAAAAATTCTGTCGATTTTAAATAGTGTGGTTTGTAGATTCTGACCTTCTACCACACAGTTTGGCAAACATTTTTTTTTTTTCCTGTAAAGCACCAGTAGCAAATATCTTAGGCTCTCTGGTCCATATATATGGTCTCTTGCAGCTCCCCTGTTCAGAAACACAGAAGCAACCACAGACAATATATAGACAAATGAGTGTAGTTACAATAAAGTTTTATTTTATGGACACTGAAATTTGAATTTCATATAATTTTCATTTGTCATGAAACAGTTTTCTTTTGAATTGTTTCCACCTTGTAAAAATGTAAAAAGCATTCTTAGTTTATGGACCAGATTTGGCCTATTCACTATAGTTTTCCAGTCCTCTTTCTAGATAAAAGAGTGGATTCTCCATGACTTCTTGAGGTTCATATTTTTTTTAATAACATTATTTGGAAGGTAATCTGTATATCCTAAAGTAGAGAAGTACTAAAAGATTTTAAGATGTCTTTTAGGGTGACATTTCAGAACAAAACAATAGCAGCCTTTATTAGAGGCCTCTCTTCTCTTTCTTCTGGCTGAAGAAATTAGACATGCCCATCTAGATGCACAGTATGGTTCCTCATCAGCCAAGACCAGAATAGTTGACATGACACATATAACAAGCTTTTTACTGAGGCTCTGCTATGTGAAAGCCTTAGAAACAGAGATGAGACACGTGTGTTCCTACCCTCCCATAGTTTACAGTATGGTGGTGACTTACCAGAACACTATTTGAATCTTAAATAGCCTCTGGAAATTTATTTTCAGCATCATGTAAGTTTGTAGGACATTTTAAACAGTTTGTCTACATCATACAATAGAAAGAATAGTTTTGTATCATAGTTTTAGAGATTTTACGAGCCAAGACCATCTACTTCAGTCAGTTGAGGGCATGTGCATTTGTTCATTTACATGGGATCCATGAGGATACAGAGTTCTGTGTCTCTAGATGATGAGTTATTCAGAGCTTATAACTTCTCTAGCCTAACTGGCTGACATGACTCTAAATGGAAATTATTTTATTATAATTCATATTTCATCAAACCATCTATTTGATCAAAGAAGAAACTATACCTTAAAATTGTTATTTTAAGAAGTTCAAAAGATTTTAGAGACATATTTTCACTTTTTGCATGTGTGGTCACAGATGAATAGTGAGCAATTAGTAGTCCTGTACTTCCCTGTGGTGTCTGTTTGTATGTACCATTGCATGTTTTTGACTGTTTGTTTCCACAGTGTATGAGAGCTAACTTTAGCTGTGATAACTCGTGCATGGAAATGTAACAGACTGCAAAATGAAATCTTTGGAAACTATAGACATTTGGTCTAATTAGGTCTTTGTTACATTATATTTACCTGGATTTCCCTCCATTGTTTGATATACATCTATATATAAATTCTCCAGTTGCTGTATTCTTCAGCTGAGTTTTTTTCAGCTCTTTTATTTTTATGCAAATCTCTAAGAAAAAGCACTAATAATTAGACAAGCAAAAACAGAAATGTAATTCCCTGGCAATCATTTGAAAATAATACATCAACTTAGAAAATGCCTATGATAGCTTGTGAGTTCTTGCAAAAATTTAGTACCAATATTATGCTGATGAAGAATCAATTTTATACTTTTCTTTATAGTGGAGGGAAAATCAGTGGGAAGGGAATACATTTTGTACAAAGTAGTAATGAAATATTTTCAGTTTTAATTGCTTCTAACAGAAGTCAGACACTAACAGTGTCCCAGTATGTATTTTCTCTCTGTTTGCTTTTTATTTGTGCATGGTTTTCCTTTTTCAAAAATTCCTTCTCAATTACCTTCATGATCATGGGCTTTCTGGAAGATAAATCTTCATTGAATTTTTGTGGCTCTAATTGTTATAAGTAGGTTTTATACAATGTATAAAGAAATTTTATTTTAGTTGATTGGAATAAACATAAGGAGTTATGTTCATAGAAGCCAAAATCTAGTAAGAGGACAAGTTGGACCCATTCTTGCCACTAGACTCCTTACCGTCATATTTGCAAGGGACATTAACTCAAGATAGTTTTTCAGAAGCCCCTTGAGACCTTCTTAGCAATTCTTTTGACTTGTGTACTTTAGAGCAATAGTATCTCTTTTTCATTATTTTTTCCTTCTGTAATTTACTCTCCTCCTTGGATTTCATCCTGATCTGAAGCCAGCATTGCTTTGTTAAAATTTTACTTAGCCTGACACTGGAGAATTATTTTTGAGTTTCTACAGGATGGATTTTTACTTTAATTTTGATACAAATATGGACATTCTGAGGAGCTCTCAATGTTTACTTCTCCTGTATGATCAGATCACTTTACGATAGCAGCTCACTGGTCAGATAGGTCATAGAATATCAGAGCAAAACAGGGGCTTCAAGACCTTAGTTCTAGCCTCTTTGTACCATAGCTGGGAAAACTGAGGCCCAGTTAACTACCCCTGTGAGTTCATAGCTAGTTTGTGGCAAAGCTGAGATCAGAATCAGATCTGAAGGATATAGCTCTTTACAATGATTTGGTCTGCTTCATTAGTCAAGAAAGTTATAAAAATAAAACCAGGTGAAAGTTGCCCAGTCGTGTCCCACTTTTTGTGACCTATCGATCCATGGACCATACAGTCCATGGAATTCTCCAGGCCAGAATACTGGAGTGGATAGCCTTTCCCTTCTCCAGGGGATCTTCCCAACCCAGGGATTGAACCCAGGTCTCCTGCATTGCAGGTAGATTCTTTACCAGCTGAGCCACAGGGAAGCCTAGTAAAAGCAAAGTAAGCACTTACTCCCACTTTTCTGTCTCTGTATCAAGTGGTTACTATTTACCTTTGTGGTTTCATTGTAAAGTCCTATCTCTTTAGGCTTATCTAGCTATGGTTTTCTTCAAGAATGTTTGTCATTTTGCTTCAAATTCATGTATCTGTGAGAGAAGCAAGTAATATTTTCAAAATTATCACTGTGGGAGAAAGCAGAAGGCAGAAATCTTTCTAACTGAGAGATGTGATTAATACTGTATTTCTAAGTTTGACTTAGAAATCTTCCATCTTCCACATTTCCAGATTATTTGATTGAAATTGCTAGTTTTGTAGATTTTTTTGAAAAGGTTAATATGTGGTTCAACCTCACAGGTCATGGCAATGCTCAAGCATTTATAGTTTACCCAGTTAGTTTTGAACTTCACAGAGATGTTGGGAAGTTGTCAGGACAGAGAATTACTAGCTCTGAGTTGGTAATGATGAAAAATATCCTCAAATTAATTAAATTCAGATA